GGAGTGCGGGGGGCGCGCCGCTTTGTGCCTGCGTCCTCCGCCGTGCGAGGCTTTTTACACCCCTTCACAAACACCACACGGGCCACGCTCGGCCGCTGGCCGCATTCGCGTCCCTTCTACATAGATATGTCTCTGTATATCTATTTCCCTCCCTCCCGGGCTTTTTCCCGCGCCGGAGGTTTCGAGGGGCACCCGGGTCCTGCCGATGTGAAATGGCAGGTACCTATGAAAGACAAATATCGTGCAGCGTTTTTCCAACCAGGGAGTCAAATTCCAGGCGGCTTTACGGTCGCCGTTATTTTTCCACCTCTCGAGGAAAAAAAAAAACCAAACCCACAACCAACCGCAAACCCCAAACCTCTAAATGCGGCGGGAGCCATTTTGCATTAGTATTTTCCACATTTGGCTTTTCAAACATTTAGATCGGTAGCCCCAACTGCTCTGCCTTCCAAACAAAAGAGCCTGGATGCTTACACAAGTGTATTTGTACACAGCTTCACACGCACGCACACACAATGTAATAGAGACACAACGTATATATTAATCAATATTTTCGCTGCGCTTATTTTACTTCTATAGCACTCTAAGTGGAAGCATTTTATGGCAGCTACTTTTCTTTAGAGTACTTATTTTTTTCCAGTGCTAAGAAACGCGAATGTGAATTAAGATACCACAAAAGCGGGGAAAAAGCTCTCCGAGTTAATGTGTCAGACGCTTTTCTTTTAATCAAAAAATTAAAAAGGAAGAAAATAAAATAAAAAGGAAGAAAAGATCGACCCAAGCCCACGAAAACCCAAGAAATATAGTCCGGAATTCAAAGCCCCTTCAGTGTAGAGCTGAGCTGACCGAAACCTCAGTGCAAGCTCAACGGGAACCACAGAAATTCGCCCGCTTCGAAACCTCTTCCCTCGCTTCCCCTGAACTTTAACGGCGAGTTTTTACTTTAATACTAGTAGTGCAGATTAGGCAGTTTAGCGACATTTTAAAAAATCTCCCTGCAATTCATCTTTGCTTTAACTGCAAGTTTATACCGAGGGGTTTAAGATTTTTTTAAGATTTTAAGATTTTTTTAAGGATTCTTCTTTTTACTGTTTAAATATCTTATACATGCTTAAACCTTTTTTTTCTCCCCTGCAGACCGTAAACTCCCAAACACAGCATAACGAGACAGCCCGACGTAGCGGGAGTTAGCAACAACATAAACCCAGGATTTTCTAAAATCTCTCGTATTGCTACGATATGAACATTTCTAATTATTAAAAAAAAAAAGTCACTTGCTTATCTCTTCTCACACAGGCACACCAGGGACACTCAGCCACACACAGACGCTCACCACAAATATTTAAAATTCTGGGCCATTTCTCTAATACTATAAGCAACGTCATCTATGCTTTTGAAAGGTGGTTATATACATACATGCCTGTAGCTCGAAAGCTAGGACTTCTACATATATTAAAGAAAGTCACAGATGATTGCAAATGTACATCTTCTAACCAAGCCTTTTGGGAATTAATAGACTGTGACAAACCTATAGGATTTTAGTAGCAGAAGGAACACAAGGTAAATAATAATAGTAATAGTAAGTGCTAAGGAAAGGCCTGGTAGCGCTTATTAAACGTGGTTCTACTCCCCTGACTTTTCCTCTGTTTCTTCGCTGCTGGGCTGTGTGGAATTTATGAATTTGTTTTCCTTTTTCCACTTCATCCGCCTGTTTTGAAACCATATTTTAATCTGGCGTTCAGTAAGGCAGAGAGCGTTTGCAATCTCAATACGTCGTCTTCGGGTTAAGTATCTGTTAAAATGAAATTCCTTCTCTAACTCTAGCGTTTGGTATCTGGTGTAAGTCTGCCTCCCTCGTCTCCCATGAGTTCCATATACTGTACCTGTAGAAGTAAAGACAAAACGATCGCATTGGAC